ATCATCAATGATCATCGATGTCACTGAAGTACTGATTATGTATCACACCTTAGATTGATTGATTGTATGTTGTTTAACGTCCCTCTCGAGAATTTTTCACTCATATGGAGACGCCACCACTTGCCGGTGGAGGGCTACAAATTTTGTCCTATGCTCGGCACTCAGGGCCTTTGAGCAGTGAGGGATCTTTTTCGTGCCAGCACCTACTGCAACACGGGGCCTCGGTTTATACGGTCTCATCCGAAGGACCGGTCTCCACGTCCCGCAGTGGGATTCCAACCCGCGACGTAAGGATTGACTCCTTACTTCGCGACTCTAGAGCAGATGCTCACACCTTAGAAATGCACAAATAAACTCAGTATTGATCATTTGTTTCAAAAGAAAATGTCCAACAAACACCAAACGGTCCCAACATATACATAACGACCACATCCTTGCCTTGCTTATGATTCCAACCGTTAGAGTGTTTTACATATATGCATAATCACTTTCAAAAGGCTTCTGTCACTGAAATTACAGAAAGGTAAGCAGCAAAAAGTTGTACAGATAGGGAAGGATGCACTGGGAAGGTGAAATTTTGCAACATGTCTGCCCTTCTAGCTTTTTCGGTAGATTATGAAAATCGGGGTCATTAGGTGTTGTATTATATTGTGTCATCTACTTAAACCCATAGCCTCGATAATGTTTAACCACAACCAAGAACGCACGAGTGATCGCCCTTGCACTGGTATTTAAGCATTAATCATAATATGGTGATAAATACAATGAATACCAGATACAATAAATAGAAACAAATATTAACTTTAATCACATTTATTGTAAAACTTTTATTAGATTTTGTGGCAAGTATTTGTCACAATCTATTTATTCATAGAAGTAAATACCCCGGCGGAACCCAAGGAAACCACTAGCTGCCTACCGGAATACCTCCCTAGATTCTTGGCGCGATAGTGCTCCCACAAGTGACTATGGTGGGAACAGACCTCTTGGTACCAGTACCAACAAGATTGAGTGTCACATGAAATGAATGAATTCAAGTTCTGACTGGGCCCTAACTCTATACCTTCCTCCCCTGAAGTACAACAACAACATGGGGACAATACCCCCAGGGGTATGCCCCAAAACTTGCCTTTGGTACCTACAAAGATCGAGCTGGTTCCCCAGGTACCGCTGAGGTAACCCCCAAATCTTCCCCAGTACTAAGAATAGATTACCCAGAGTTTTAAGCCAGAAATGAGAGAAGTCCCCTTTCGTGGTAAATCCCGAATTCCCCCAAATATACTTGTCTATACAAGTTCACACACCACTAGCGCGGTAGGTGTATATATGATAGTTTTTACTTCATTCCCTTTCACCCACCTGACCTGTAAATTTCAAATTTAATAAATGTTCATGTATAATATAGAGACGCTTGTTAGCTAGTTTTTCTATGCAATCAAGATTCATCTTGTATTTCACTTATATCAGACCACATAATTGAATCTGGACTTATTATTTGCGGAATAAGCAGGAACTTTCCATACTATGAAACAATAATGATCCAGGATGTCCAGGTCCTTGAAACCAAAATGTACCATCCAGGTGTATATTAATCTACTCTAAACAAAGATTCAAATTTCTTCAATTTTATTTCCCTGACTTTAAACCCAATTAAAAAAATCTTTTTATCAAATTATCAAAGGGTTTTTTCCTCAAGGACTTATAGTGTCATTTTGGGTACATGTAGCACAGTATCCTCTGAATGTCAAAACCCTACTACACACAATCTATAGGTTCCACCTGCCCAGTTGTTTGATAATTTGTTCAGGAATGCCCTATAATACTGCTGCTGAAAAGAGGATGATCTAAAACAGCATATGAAAACGTTACAGCAATGAATAGTATTGCAATAAAGGGTTGATAACTAATTAACCATGAAATGTACCAAAATTGGCCATGGCAAGGTGTACCAAGTTAAGACTCTGTTTGTGAAGGATTTGTTCATCCATCTAGCTTGATGAAGTCAATGTGACATTGTTGAAAAGGTGTGGACCAATTATTGAAACTTATGTTTCCATTATTGAACTGAGATGCACGAGGACCCAAAGCCTAAAAATGAATCCAATATCAATTCATAATAGAATCTTCAATTTAATTTGATATAATAGCTAACTAATGAACCCTTCTTAAATATAATATTGAAATAAGTGATATTAAGTACAAGTTTCTAACTAATAGCCTGACTTAAGCGGAATTGACCATTTGCACAACCAATTGTTTGTCGGTATGAAATCTTGTAGTTAGCTAAATGTACAGGTCTAACACTAAATATAGATAGCGATTTTTATCAAAAACCAAAGATGTCATTCTAATCTATTCAAATATGACACGGCGATCTCCTAATTATGAAAAATCCCGAAAACCCTAGATATACCACCTGTATATATATGTAAATAACTGCATTGTATTGTTGAAAGCCAATAACCTCTTCTTTGGAAGGGGAGGTAAACTACCATAATGATTAAGGCAGTCCGATCCCCGGGCAGTTAATTGAAATAATGTTATCTGCTTTCAAAAAGTAATGTGTATTTACCTATATTTCTTCGATCTTCATCATTATAGCTACCGGTAATCATACTATAGAGGGAAAATTATCGAATCTCAAATATATTTTCAGAAAATGCAAATGAAAAGCACCACCTATGCAATTTTTCATTGTAAATTTATGAAAAGAAATATTTTAGAATGCCGGTAAACATTTATAGGTATCCTGGATTGGAAAAAAATGCCTGTTATGTATACTTTAATGGTATTTTAGTTCTTATATTTTTTCAAGCATCATATAACACATACCTGTAATGTAAAAAAAATGTGTTTTCATTGGAAGACATAAACTATCACTTCAAATTCTATATCATGGTTAACAAGCTTGTCAATTAAAGCAAGGTTGGAGAAATTCGATTTTTATCTAAAGATTTTAAAGAATTTTATGGGAAACACGTGTCAACTTTACCCAGTTTCAGACTACGAAGAACTTGAGTTGCGTGAATAAAAGATGTTGCTCGAAAAGATATTAATTTCAAACTTAATTTTGAGTCTTTCTTGATTATATGATCATTTTTAGAGTTATTCTTCTTGGCTGGGAGCGGATATTCTTAAGAAAATCAGCTGCATCACTTCATCTTTTATTAGTTGTTTTACTTTCTTTGTGTTAAGCATTCTAGACACCAATCCTGGGATTGTAATATAGCTCAGTCAATGTATCTTGAGATAATCACATAAGCATAGATATAACTGTCTCCATTCTATCCCTTTGAGTCAAATCTGAAGAGAGTTCCGCTGTCTTGTCATTAGATTTGCCACGTTCAACACAAATCTGTTGAAAAATATCTACATGTAACATATGTTTACAAAAAGTGTCTCCTTTTTTCCCTGTAAAATAAGAAAATATCATTTATGTAATTTATAACACTTTACATAGATTTTTAACTTTTTACAAAATGGCAATTGTTTGTCAAAATGGTATTTCCAATCTCACATGTATGATGTCTGGTTAAAAGAAAGGGTGATAGATAATATATGAAAAACAGAATGCATTCTTAATGTACATGTACACTACCCCAATAGGTGAATCATCAATACTGCTTCATCTATTTTACTTAATTTCTCTGTATATACTGTATAAGTGGAAATTGTCCTCAAAATTCGGTATTTTATTTTTAACGAGATCTAATTTTAGTGATTTTAAAAAGCTCACTAAAGAAGCTATTACAAACAGAGTGCGATAATTTTTAGCGATATTCAATTTTGGCAATCTTGGCACCCTCGCTAATAATGCTAAAATTAAATCCTCGCTAAAAATTCGTCGCTTGCGTGGTGCAGTGGTTAGAGCGTCTGCTCTAAAGTTGCTAAGTGAGGAGTTGATCCTTACGTTGCGGGTTCGAATCCCACTGTTGGACATGGAGACCGGTTCTTCGGATGTGACCGTATTAACCGAGGTCTCCTGTCGCAGTAGATGCTGGCACGAAAGAGATCCCTACCTGCTCAATGGCCCTGAGTGCCGAGTATAGGAAAAATTTGCAGCTCTCCGCCGGCAAGAGGTGGTGTTTCCATATGAGTGAAAAATTCTCTAGAAAGACGTTTAGTAATATGCAATCAATTAAAATTGTAAAAGTCAAGAATTTCTGTGAAATTACTACATGTATATTTGATTTGTATAGGTAAAAAGCCTACTCAAGAAAATTTCAGTTGATTTTGGTCAACTTTTACCAGTCAAGCAGTGAACCCTAGACTTTGCCCCTTTGTGCCTTAACTTGCTGGGGATGGGGGAATGGGTGATAACTGCCCTTGTGTACCAAGCTTATATCCAACATTACCCAAATATAATTTCAGATGAAATGTCAATAGGGTTAATTAAACGTACTACCCTGGTCATATAATCATAACTCATATAACTCAAAATCAAGCCTTCCCCAATGATTATTTATTTATTTATTTTGATTTGCTTTTGTTTTTTATTGTATTTGTGTGTGTGTGTGTGTGTGTAGTAGAGTGAATTTTGTGTTTTAAATTTTAGGCTGGGTTTGAAACATTCAAACATTGTAACTTATAATTCAATAATCTTTAAAGTTTATCTCCACGGAAAAAATAAGAATCTAACCCAATACCGTCTTCCAATTATTGATATCTACAAGACCCAGTTCTACTATCAACATGATAAACGTTTATATTTCACGTTCACAATATTATGCGATAAAACAATTTCAAATAAATTGTTTGAACAACTAAATTAATCGCCTAGACAAGATCTTGTAAATAAAGAAAGAGAGAACGTTTTGACGTTAAGTACTACCTACCGAGAGAAAAATATAGTATGTAAAATAAAAACACTGTCAAGGAAGAAATTCATAATACAGATTTAAAACATCAATAAATGCATTGTTATTTATAAAATATAATTACTATAATTATCTATTGGTGTTACAAGAATTATCAATAATTTTTCAAATTTTCTCAAAAAATCTTGCCTGAAAACGTTTGATAATCACTCAGTTTGCATTTGTTTGTCTTCCATAACTAAGTTACAAGGGTGTTCATTTGTTACCCATGTTATAAAGATAAGATGGAACTCCAAAGTGAGTTAATACGTCATCTGCGGCATCCAACGAACTCTCTCCCCAACCATTATATTCCGCTCCCCAGTAACCATGCACAATGAATATATTGTCTCCAGGAAAAGGTGTTGTCAGATAGTTTTTGATGTCGTACCATCTTGATCCGGGTTTCCAAGATACCCAAGCTCCATTGTACGGGTACTTGTCCCAAGCAAACATCATTCCGTCCACAGGAGCAGGGAGATGTCTGCAGTCTATCTTGTAAACTCTGGAAATCTGACTATGTGCGTGTCTTAAAACCTCGTCCGTTACCCGGGTATCATCATTTTTTTTGCTAATGACGTTTCCTCTTTGTTGAAGATGACTCCAGAACGTGACATCATCAAAGTCAGCATACGACATGAGAAAAACTGCTTTACCATTGCGAGATATCCCCCAATGGAACGACTGTCGGTACGGAAGATCTGAATGCGTAAACGTGAAATTGTATCGCTCATTGAGCCACCAAGGATAATCGTACACAAGGAATATCCTTGAGGCTTGAACATCAATCACCGAATTGAGTGCTGACTGGAAAACTGGATTGTTGGAGTTTGGCATCTGAATCCGCTGTATTGCTATCTTTGGAAGAGCTAGTATTACATTACGAGTAACAACTGTGAAGTATTTATTTGTAGGAATAGTCGTGCCATTGATTGTCCTTGTTCTCCTAAATATCAGTAAAGTCCTCTTTTTATTTTTGATATTTTAATGAGTTGGCTGTTTGGATGATACCGGTGTCTACAACAAGAATTAAAATTTTTAAAATGAAGATTAGTACGATGATCGGCTTGAAAAGACAAACTGATACTTTTAAGTGCAAAGTCGAATACTTTTATATCTTTGGATAATTTTCTGACCAAAAACAATAATGGTTAACATTGAGTCACTTCTCAGTAAACATTAAGTTATCTTTCAGTGTAAACAATGCCTTAACTTTCATCCTGTGATTGATAAGAGGAAAAACTAATCAATAATAGAGGAGTGGAATTTGGTATGCCTCTCTGTTGGCATTCTTAAGCTTGTATCGTACTGTGGTTTGATATACAAGTTCAACCAATGGTTCGCTTTTGGTTTTGTGTGTTCAAAACTGACGTCATTTCGTCAATGAAGTATAAAGTCACTTTATTACTATATACTCTTCATAATCCAGCTGAATGAATGCCTTTATTTCCATATGTTCATTTATATAAATAAGCTATATTTTTTTGAACGGTAAAGTAAATGTTATTGGAATTTTTTTTCTCATGTGGGTAATTTTTAATTTTAAGAATATAGCCATGAGATTGAATATTTTATTGTTAAAGTTTGTAAAATTTATCTTTTCTGAAATATTATCTTTGACAATACCTTTTTGGGTTCCTTGACAGGAATCGTCTCAGAAACCCAATGGGATATGAACCAAGTCCTGTAGGAATAGTTACCACCCGTGGAAGTCCATTGGGAGTTGTGTTCTCTTCGAATCCGCGTCTTGTTCGAGGAAATCTCATAATGCTTTGGTCATCTCCAAAGCCAAATTTGACTATAGAGTTGTCAAATAAATACTTATATCCTTCATTACTTATTCCAGTTTTTCGTAAAACCTCTTTGTAGCTGAAAATGAATTTTAAGATTTTAAGGATTGAGCTCTATTATGACATTGACACATAAACTTAATTTCACTTGAAAAAAGCATGTAATACACTTTATCCTGCAACTACCCCTTGCATTGACCTAAAACAGGCAACCTAATAAACCAAAGCTTTATTTTGCCAATGCCCTAATATAAATAAAGACTTGTGTATGTATTCCGACGTTCTAAAGCATTGTGACATCACGTATATTTCAACGTTAACGCCATGGCGTCTTTAAGTTTCCTCCGCAGAGATGTGTCTAAATCGGGTTGATAATAGTTTATTTTGGAGGTAAGATGTAAATATATTTTGCAGGATAAACAAAATACATGGTTACTGTCTTGAAATATATGCTATATTTAGGCTCGGGTCGAATACGTCATGGAGTGCTCGGCAAGCCTCGCCCTCGGCTTAATATCGCGAGGGTAACCATGCATGTATTTTATATGTATATGAAATTTCAAGCAATTGTTTATCCTTACATTGCTAATATTCAAGCAATGAATCATTATTTTTTTAAGACATAGTCTCGTAACTACAGCGGTGCGTGTGCAACGAAATTGAATGACGCGCGTTATTCAAATTGTTTGACTTCAAAATAAAACGTAATCTTTAACCGTTTAATCCCGTTTCCGTATTATTGCCGTTTGGATGCCTTTGGATGCCTTTAATTCCCACACACTTTATATGCAAAATACATGGGTAATGTAAATATAGTGATATACATGTATTGAATGATTGATTGTATGTTGTTGTCTCATACGAGATTTTTTCATCACTTAAAGATGTCATCGTATGCCGGTTAAGGGCTTCAAATTTAGACCTTTAGTTGGTAATCATAGCCATTGAGGATCCTTGCCAACGCCTACCGTAACCTTGCATTTTAAGGTCTCGCCCAAAGGACCAAAAAAGGCTTCATGAATTTCACTCTAGTACTGAGCGCATGGCAATGGAACAATTACTACTTATATTTACATATTATGCAGCATGGCAAATGAGAATCAAACAAGGTCCTCCCGATCACGCAGCGAGCACAATACTAATATATATATATATATATATATATATATATATATATATATATATATATATATATATATATATATATATATATATATATATATATATATATATATATATATATATATATATATATATTTATTTATTTATATCAAAACACAGAGAACGAGTAAAACATAAGCGCTTTCATTTCTTCTTCATGATGTTTTACAAAATACTCATGGTAAAGTCTATATATATATATATATATATATATATATATATACTGAACAAAAAAAGAAAGGTATATCAGAAATAATTTATTTTCAAATTTATTAAAAGTTATAGAATCAAAACATTATTTGGTAAAAATAACAAGATACCACTGTCTGACAATATTCATTTTAAAAATGTCATTTTAATACACACATTGGCAAATAACAAGTCTCTGATCTACCCTGGGGTTTTAATTGCATTTCACAAGTCAGTACCGTGTATGACCACCGCCTGCATGCAGCACTGCGATACATCTGCGACGCATAGAGGTTACATATCGTCGAATTACGTGTCCCGGGATATTAATCCACTCCTCTTCTAGTGCTGTCGCCAGTTGCAAGAGACTCTGTGGCTGGGGTCTGCGCATCCTCACTCTCCTACCTAACTCATCCCAAACATGTTCAATTGGCGAGAGATCCGGAGATTTTGAGGGCCAGTCTAGAACATTCACGTTGTTTTGAGTCAAGAAATCTCTGGTTGCTCGAGCTGTGTGTGCTGTTGCATTGTCCTGCTGGAATGTTATACCAGGACCATTGGTGCGCAGATACGGCAGCAGAACTGGAGAGAGAATTTCATCTCTGTATCTTTGAGCTGTCAGCGTACCATTCACAACAACAAGTCTTGTGCGGTGTCCTCCACAAATTCCGCCCCAAACCATTACACTACCACCCCCGAATCTGTCTACTTCCGTCACACAGCAACCAGCAAAACGCTCTCCACGTCTCCTCCAGACACGAGTTCTTCCATCGGCAAATTTCAAACTAAAACGGGACTCATCACTGAAGAGTACTTTGGACCAGTCCTGCAATCGAAAGCGCAAGTGATGTTGTGCCCAATTCCGTCTCGAGGTCTTGTGCCGATCTGTTAGTTCTGTCCCTCTGTACGGTCTACGGGCTCTCAAACCGCAACTCTTCAGTCGGTTTCGCACTGTCTGAGGACTAATCCTCCTCCCTATAGCATTGTGAGCAGAATCTACTGCAGTCAAAAATCTGTTTCGTAGATAAGCAAACGGATTTGACGGTCTTCCCTAAGGGTGGTAACTCTAGGTCTTCCACTTCGGGGCCGGTCATCAGTAGATCCAGTGGTCTGGAAACGTCTCCAGAGAAGGCTAATTGTCTTTTGAGTTGTTCCAACAGTCGTTGCAACAGCGTTTTGGGACATGCCTGCTTGGAGCATCCCTATGGAACGTTCACGTTTATCTTTAGACAATCGGGGCATTTCAAAAACCGCAGAAATTTTACCAAATTTCTGATTTTCTTTGACGACTAAAGACAAGGATTTTCTACACCTAGAATTATACGGATACACGTGGTCTGATTTTCTCGAGCACGGACTTTTATCCATTGTACTCACTTAGAATTTAAAGGTGATATGCTTGAATGATCAGGATTCTTTTTATCACAATTGACTGTTGCTTAAGTCTCCTATATAAGACCTTTCGTTGTAAAAAGTTTATTTTCTAATCTAAGTAAAACAAATTCACTTTTAGATATATACCTTTCTTTTTTTGTTCAGTATATATATATATGTTTTCCCATCATGCTTTTTAAAAATATCTTTATGTGTCGTTTGTCAAAAACATGGATTTTTTCATCAACCTCGACCTTCGTTTTTGCAAGTTGAGTTTGGTTGAATTTACCACAGTGGTTCTGAAGATAAAAAGTAGAAATTGTAAAAAGTTAAGACGGATGTGCGTACATCAAGCAAAATTTGATCAGTAAAGCTTGATGATATTCGGCTCAGATGAGCTAAAATACCTTGTGATGAAAAATAAGAAATCCCTTGGAACAAAAACTGATATGATCCATTATCAGTGAAAAAATAGGATTAATAGATTTTTGTAGGTTTTTTTTCTAAAGGTAAAGAAATATTATTCTATTGTTTAGACGTGAATCATCATAACAAACCTCTGTAAATATAAAGGTACTCCATCTCTGAGAGTGACAGCAGTAAAACGTTCTGTATTTGGGTCAGAACCGTTATAGTTTGTAAACCGTTCAGATAGTAACCTGCAAGGTGAGAAAAAATGCCATTACAATCTTATATTATTAATGAACTTTTAATTTTGTATAACATTGATGGGAAAAAAGTCGATAATTCAGTTTAAAGGTGGCAAAATATTCATTTATGCCAATCTTAGTAAACCATTAAAAACTAATGTATAAAAAAATCTCGTAAATCAATATTTGGTGCCTTAAAAACTGACAATGTCATTTATTTAGCAATTTCAATCATTCTATATCGTTTACATGTTAAGTACGTTTAACGATTACTGTATACAGGAAAATTTTCGCCCCCGTTTAATTTTCGCCCCTTTCGCCCTATCCTCGTTTTGGCGAATTTAAAACGGGGCGAACTCGAATAATACAGTATAATTTCTTAAACAAAACTATGACTGGGCGAATTTAAAACGGGGCAAAATTGTTTGCAAGTGTGAAAGGGCGAAAATAACACGGGGCGAAAATAACCCTGTATACAGTATTAGAACAAGTTTGAATAAACGTTTCCAACGATAGATGCATTAAAACTGCACTTTAAATCAAAGTACTGAAAGAGAGGTGTATGAAATTTATTTTTATTGTTTCGATCATGTTTTTAAAATACGATAGCAATGAATGTGAGGCTTTCCGAGTCTTCTTTTAGGAAAGTGTTAAATCCCACCTTCCTAATTCATTAGGATCTCTTCTTTCCTCTGGTCTCAGTCGGTAGGGGGTTCTTGACGTCCCCAACTCAGGGATAGACAGGTGCGTGTTACGCAGGAAAAGGCGGGTGCGCTCTGGAATCCGCCCCATTTCTTCAACAAAATGTACGAATGTTAACCCCAGTTCTCTTCCGGCTTTTATCATCCTTAGATGGTCTGCTGGCCTTAAACGCATGGCTCCTAATTCAACCGGAAGGTCGGGGGCATCTGGGAAGGTTCTTGTGTACATTCTGCCCCCAACACGATTTGAGTATTCATAAATTCCTACCCGGAGGCCTTTGTTCTTGAGCCTCCATCCTGTGTAGGTACCCCCGATACCGGCACCAATAATGGTTATATCCTCCACCTGTCCACCTTCAAAATAAAACCTCAAAATATCAACAAAGGAAAAGGTATAGAGATAATGATGTTAGATATCCGAGAAAGAGGAAGACTATATAAATTTTGATACAGGTTTTTTTACATCCTTGGGTATAAATTTTGTTTTCAGATGGGACGGTGGAAGACTAGAAAATATTATCTTTTTGTACACTGTATTTATGGCCAATTCGCAGAAAAGAGTTTTTGTGGTGCCATCTGGCAATCAAATACGTGTGCTTGGGTTGATTCATAATGTCTCGCCAATTGACATTATAATTAGTTATTACAAATTAAATTTAATTAAAAATAATACATACAAAAACATAGAGAAGAAAAATGTTTTTAACGCTACTGTTTCGAAAAAGAAATGATAACTGCCATGTCCAAACTGAATAAAGCATTGTGTGTCCTGTAATTGTTTAAGAGAGAAAGATAACTACGATGTCCTTTAAGGGAGCCGCCTAGGGTTTTATTGTGCGATAACTGCAATACAGAAACTCTTTAATTTGATAGCATATGTAACATATGTAACTTACATTGACGCCAACGTACATGCAAAGCTTGTGGAAAATCTACCGTCTAATTAAAGGATTATATTGGAAAGTACCAATTTTTCGCACTTTAAAGCGAATTATACAAATACTACAAGTTTACATATGAAAAATTTCAAAAGCATCTATTTAATATTTTTTATTTATATTGTATTACCCCTTCTTAAAGAGATTCAGTTTATCATAATGTCAAAAACACTCTATTACGACGTCAATCTAGTAATCTACCTATCATTTGAAAAATAATCGTTTTTTAAATCTGTTACTAAAGTTTGAAATTAATTTTTTCACCTGTAATTTCTTAATTAATTTTGTTAAACATTGGTATTTAGTGAGGAAAATGCTTTAAAACAGTAAATACGCTTCATTTTATTTTTTGAAAAAAAAAGCTAAATGTTATGTGAATAAATGGTTAAACAGCTAGGTTATCCCAAAGTGCTTATTAAGAATTTTTTGGTATGAAAAATAAATGATTTTTCATGGCATTGTAATAAATATTTTAGTTATTAAATATTATTAAAGATTATATATATTGAATCATTCCTTGAAACGCATAAACTTAGAAAGGATGCAAATGGTGGCTGTCAAACAATACTAAAAAATGCTCTTCTGCAAAGTATTATTATTTCCAAAACGATACTACTATTTGATAAAAAAAAAAAAAAAAAACACATGAATTTTTGACAAGGAAGTCAGATAATATTATCCTGTAGAAAAAATAAATATTTAGAAAAACAAAAAAGATAAATATATGTACATGTAGCTTAAAAGTGTGCCAGAATCTGTCTTAACAGACATCTATTTATGAACTAATTAAGAAATGTTTTCAGCAATTATAAATTAATCTAACTAGATAATATGAGTGACTTTTTGTTCTGCTACTTAATTTTTTTTTTCAGTTCATCGTTTGATAATCAATAAATCTAAAATTCCAAAGCTTTCAACATGGATTTTGTGTAAATTAAGACCATATGTTGAAAATCTACAAATGAAATATATGGAGATAACAAACAGTATTCGAGCTTAAAATGCATCAAACAATATAATTTGAACAGAGCAAATACGGACTCCAAAACCATCAGAGGTAAGATCAGGTACCAAATAGGAGCGAGAATCCTCTGCCGAACGGTCACACCCACCGTATGCTCCTTGTCATGGTCGGGAAATAACGGGAAAATCGGTCCAAAAATCAGCTTTTATCAAATCAAGAAAACAATAATTAAGTAATTTATATATTCCACACTGAGAAATGTATTTTTTAGAAATGTAAATTTTAGCTATTCGTTTTTTGTTTTTTTTTTTTTTTTTGTTTTTTTTTGTTTTACTTAACTATTTCTCTTTTCTTCCAAAAAGCAATGCAGACTAGAGACAGAATTGCACTTATTATTTTATTTTAATTTCTTCTCTATTTCCTCCGACACTCATGATATTTCTAGAAATTATGTAATTATTAAGCATCCATTTATACATTAGGAGCTTTAAAATAATGACGATGTGGCATTCAAAATATAACTTTTACGCAAAAGTTTTTTTCCTTGATAACAGACGTAAAAAATATAAATTAATATGTATAATTATCCTGTTAAAAAGTCAGAAGAATACCTTTAATTTGTCCGAGACTAAGAAAAATACATATGCTCACTGAAATAAATCTCATATTTTTCTGTGTGTACATGAAACAAGCTACAGAAGGCAACTCGTAAATATATATTAGGAACATATTTCGTTTATTGGAAAAACCGTACACTCTTAATACAGAATAATACGGTGCAAAAAAAAAGAAACATTTCAATCACGCGCTATTATATATTATGCTAATGTTAGTATGATCGAATCCTTCATATAAAAAGAAACAAGAATTTTAAAAAAATAAACATTGATTTGATTTAATTTTATAAACAGTGACACGAGAGCACTCCCGATCTCGTCAAACTAAATTTTTTGTGCATGAAAACTCCAGATATAAGTATATGCAATGTTTCCCAAGCACAGGTTTTCAGTTATTCCAATACTTTAACATTTTAAGGACTCTCTCTCTACACCAGCACAAAATGATTTTTCGACTTTAAGAAAATTATGTTGAATTAAGGTGTGAATATTGAGATTATTGCCTGACGTCACGGCGTCAGGCTGTATAAGGATTGATATTTTCATAATCCGAAACTAATAGATCATACCTTGAGAGCTAGATTTTATGCAAGCTGATTTTTATTGGATTTCTTTACCTGCATTTTAAAAGAAACAGTTTTCAGAAAAAAGAATGATATTACTGATGAAAAATACTGCAGTGTTTACTTCCTTTACTCTTTTGCACTGAACAGATCATTTCATGTGATTCACCGTTTCAACATGTCCGTGTATCCTTTTTTCTGCATTTCTATACTATTGGATTAGTCCATTTATATTCTACGAAAGGGGTGAATCGCTCTTTTCGCGCCAAATGTCACTGCTTTCCTTGGATTGTTCTATTGTTTGAATGGGTGTTCCAACTTTCATGGAATTAAAGTATATCCAAATGCTTCAGAAATTCTATCTACAAATAAATGTTTTCTCTCATTCTTTTAAGCAACATATCGTGTAAAATTTAAGTATACGAAGATGCAACACTAAAGAAATGAGTTTTCTAATTTGTTTCTCGATCCCGCGGTTGGTTTATTCCATAAATGGATTAGTCCAATAATGATAAACAACGCATTTCAACAAAGTCATGGTCTCCAGATGCATAATCTATTATACATGTATCTATCTGTTCAGATGCGCACAATAAATAAGAAAGAAGTGCAAAATCTGGGTTTTTTCTTTCCACACAGGTCTAAGTAGTGAATTTACTGTTAAGTTATTTCATTCTCAATATATGATAGTAAGACTACCCCCCTCCTTTTAAGAAAAAAATTAATAAACACACATTACTACTGTTTACTTCAGTGGAGAAAATACACTACAACAAAATGTGTACTATTTAATTATATCTATCTTTTAGAATGTTGACGATGCATAATTTAATTGGTGACAGACTTTATAAGTTCGAAATCAATTTAGATCCAAGGGCAGAGCACTCCACTTGCAGAAAACCCCCACAGAATACTATGAGAATACCAACTCTTTAGTTTGCAATGTAGAGATGATTCTTCTAAAAGTTAAACAAAATCAAGATTTCATTTACACAAGGTGCTCAAAAACAAAAGTAAGTTAAAGTATTGCACAAAAGGTTTATCATTCTTCATGCATATACTGATTGATTTAGTCAGGCAAGCTTTTTAAAAAGCTGTTACTTGTCTATATAATTTTCAGTAAGTGGTATGTGTCATTTACCCCCAGGAAAATATTCAAACATAACAGAGTCTTATTGAACAGAAATCACTAATATTATTTACTTTCATGGAGAAAATACACATAAAAACATATTTAATTAATTCATACTGGCCTTTTTACATGTTAAGAAAACTTCAATCGATTGAAAATTGAGTAATATACTGTACATTTATATTGATTGGAATTCAGATCTAAGGACAGAAACTCTAAATGAAGAAAAGTACGATAAAATCATAACAATTTATTGCACATGTTGCAAGACCATTTCCAAATAACACTTTTTAAATCTGGATTTTCGTGCATTAAATACACTCTGGATTTATGAAAAATTGCTTTTAAATAATCTTTGGAAAGAAGATTACCTTTAGATTCTCCAAGAGCAAGGAAAATACATACACATAATGTGTACAATCCCATAACTTTCTGTAAATACAAATAAATTTTATTTACTTTATAAATACTTAAATCTGAAATAATTTCAGTTCTTTATAAGCAGTGCTTCAAGTTCATTCAAGATTAAAGATGTAAAAATCTTAATATGCATAATAAATTGAATAAAAAACGCTTAAATGGTGCAGCGGCTTAGATTAAAAGAAAAAAATCATTTGTAGACACAAGCTTAAAATTTGACACAAATGTCTTTCTGATATTAGTAAATCTAAAAATATCGTTGACCACCGTGATTTCAGCCATTTTTAAGATGGTCGCCACTAAAACAAAATGGCGACATTTCCATACTGTCTGAACTCAATTAGTCTTTATACTACACAATTTATTATAATTTTGCCCGATTTAAGTTATCTTAGAGATACATTAAGACTATACGTGACATAAAACAACAGTTAATTATTCGATAGTAACAATGAAGCAAGCCATGGATAAAGGAGGGCAGTAATATCCTTTTAAAATCCAAGACAAACGCCTGTGATGGCTTGTGCCCAACCTTTATTTTTTTTCTATTCAAATCGATACAATGGGAATGGCCAGAAACGAATGGTGAAGATAGATTTGTATATGTGTTTTGTGGATTACAGATTGAAATGGCAGCTTTTAAACTGCTTGGTGATTTGTTGAAAGGATTTAAGCGGCTTGGTGATAGCTTTATTTGAAGCAGACATCGCATCTCTTGTACAGGTAAGTCTTTCCTAATATGTTCTAATCTTGCCTAAAGAAGTAAAGATTATCAGATTACTGCCTGCTGTCTGTATAATTTGATATTTAAAAAAAGACATACCAAAATGCAAAGGAACTCGACAATTGCGATGAATTTGAAATTCTATTCTCTTTGTGTTCTAAACACGATAAAAATATTTCACAATTTTAATTATATTGGTCAGGAATTCTAAAGGAGATGGGCGAACTTAGCTTGCATAAAACCCATAACTTTACGTGTATAAAAAATCATATTCAAAATGTGAATTTTATATTTAGAGCAAACTATTCGTTATTGTTATTTTTGAAATCATGCTATGCAAAACTTTTCTGAGCAAATTTTTCTGGGCAAAATTAATTCCTTAAGTTTATATATATAAATATATAGTATTATAACAGTAACTTGATCTGAAGGGTCTATCTCGTTGAGTTGACAGGCGCAGATCATTAGATCTAACGAGACGCGAAGCGTCGAGTTTGATCTGATGATCCGCGCCTGTCAACGAGACGTGGTACGGCTATTCGGATCAAGTTACTGTTGTAATGATATATTTATTATATACCCCCTTATATCTAGCCAAATATAGCAAAATAAAACAATAGAGATCAATTGGGTAATATTTATCCATAAAACAATGCATAATAACAAGGGACTTTTTAACGCACAAGAAAAATAACGTCATGTTTCTGCGTACTACGTCATCAGTTTCAGAGAGTGGTGATATGGATTCAGAAAACCACAGTGTGGTGATCCGGAAAGTCGGATCACGACGTCACGTGATAGCGTAAAATCAACAGTAAAATTGAGTGATACACATTAGGTATATAATAAATAAAAATACTGTTTCATTTGTGTGTTTCGAACCCTAATAAACCAAAAAATCCCTTAGCTTGATTTTCTTTGGAGACAAGGACGCTAACCACTAACCTACGCCATTCCTGATGTGACTAACGGCATTTTAATCATGTTTGTGATATGACCCTTGACTTAGTGGACTTTAAGTATTTCTCAAAAAGATGCGAATGTTATGTCATTTTAAAGTACATTTTAAGGTATAATGGGTCTTTGCTGCATAATTTGTGATTAAAAATAAGTATATTTTATGCAAACTTTGAGGATTGGATTTCAAATAAAAAGAAAAAAAAGGATGGAGCGAAGACCCACTCATATCGAAAAAAAGTGTTATAGTGTGAGAAAATGACCCTATTTTCCCAATTTAGTGTGTGTATACTAATACATATATAGGCAGATAATTTCAATCTGTAAGATTTAATAAAACTGTAGAGATTCAACATAAAGTATACTTTAATGTTAGATGAAATGTCAAAGGAAAATTTAATATAATTGAGATTTAATTTTTCACCTTCATGTTTATCAAACTACATGTGTAAAGGCTTTTTGCTCGCCATGTTAACTTATCTCCTTTCGAACCCCTTGTCTTCACCTTTATTAGGTCTTGCAGAGAATGATTTAAGGCTTTACAAGGAATCCTTATCATAAGTGATTCCATAATTTTTGCCCTTGATCGCATCAATTATGCTCGATAGCTACCAATTCACCTTCGGGATATGCTTACATTGAAAACAAAGCTACCGGAAATATATCAGGAATTTGAAAAAGGAAACTTTACCGTTAGAGAAACTAATTTAAGGCGCTGTATGGTGGCTTGGCCAGAAATCAGCAGATTTATTGAAGAGTTTACAGGTGTATGAAAGGGTCACGAACAGAAGGAAAACATCACGAAGAAACCCATGCTGCTAAGAATGGATTTTTTTCAAAATTCAATCGGATTCTTATACTACTAAATATATATTGTTGGAAATTGCAATCCATTTGAATGAGAGTCCTTGGATCTATATAGTTTAGTTATGAGATAAGAAGTTGTCGAAACTGAAATTGCAAATGAAATATTAAAAATAGGAGACATCCGGAGAAAACAATACAGGGCATTCCTTCTATCAATGCCTAAAAGTGATAATTCAGATTTTTATGTACCTTTTAAGAATTTCCCTTATTTAATCCCAAACCAAAATCTGATTCCTCAACGCCAAAGTTGGCAAATAGGATGATTTTAGCCTTTTTCTAGGCTTTTTATGTCCTGAGTAGGCAATGCCAATCACGGGAATTTTTTAGAAAATGAAAATCAGAAATTCCCCCTCGCTTTCACAAAATGGTTTGTTAAATACGGGTGTCAAA